TATATGAGCTGAAATTCTCAGGAATGAGAGAAAAGCCATTAAACATCCCAGATGGTTTTTTTTACCTCCAGGAAGGAAATCCTATTATGTGAATTTGTAAAGAAAGACCCTGAGCATTGTGTTAAAATTTTAATCATGTCTATTTATTACTTTTTCCCATGTTGCCTGGGATCCTCATCTATTTCAATACAGTTTAATAATCTAAATTAAGTTTGTAAAATAGCTGCAAAGATGGATAAACCTCTCCAAATTCTCTCAGATCAGTCATAATGTCCTGTGTTAAACCCGTAAACCCACTCTTTACCCTTCGGTTTGTCATTTGTTTACTTGTTTTTCGTTGTTTTGACTGATGTGTTTTCTGCATGGGAACATAAAATACTTTGCCATTTGAGGAAGCTGAGAAAGTTCTGCGTTCCACAACTTAAGAGTCAAGGATGCCTGACAAGGATTATGGGAAACAAGAATTTTTTTTGCTTAAAAAACACAAGCCTTTACCCAGACATTGTAGCATGTTTGACTATTTTCCATTCTCCCTCAATAAATAAAATGTCATCCTAAGAAAATAAATGTCTCATAAAATCTGTACCACAATCTCTGGTTCTACTCGGTTTCTAAATGAGTCGAGTGTCTCTGAGTCAAATTTGTCTAGAAATGCTGCATAAAGCACAAACACTAACCCCAACCCTGAATTTTGCATGTCCTTGCAAGCGAGAACTTTTATTCCAACACGGTTAAAAGGAAACGCAACCTCCACTTTCTAAACCCCCTCCCCTCATATGAATTCATGTGCTGTACTAATATTTGTCACTCAGCTCCAAATTTATCTTGAGCATCTGTAAAATATTCAAATCAAACATAACAAACAAAAAATCCTCTGTGGTTTGGCTTTGTCGGGTAACCCTTCACCTAAATAACCCAATCCCTGAGTGCACAGAGTGGTGATCTTGTATCTTGGCATCATGCTATTGTTTACAATAATATGACAGTGACCTGAAGTGTGCAGCCAAGACAACACTTGAGACGCTCAATACTTAAGTTATCCCAGAATTGAACTCTGTGGAGAAAAACTGAAAGTTCTATTTTGGAGGTTCATAATTCCCAAACTGTCCAAAGTCTAAAGTTTCAGTGGTTCACTAAAATAAACAGAAGTAATTTAACCTTTTGCTTAATAATTGCTGTTTGCTTGATGTAGTTCTAAAACTATTTACTAATCATTTGATCGTTCTTTGTGTTCTCAAACAGTGATTAATAATAATGTGCTTTCTATTTTACTGCACTATTATTTGTTTAGTTACGCAGACGTGTAACTGGGTCACTACACTGATGCATATTCCAGTTATTTAGACAGCATTAACAGTTGCTCGTGTCATAAAACCAAATGATGCACATACTGCATATGATGCGTATAATGAAATAAATAGATGAACTTTGCATAGAAAATCAAATGACAACATTCAGTTATAACTTTGGTTTAATTGTAAGAGCATTCTTTACAATGGCTGGCATATTATATATGTAGTTCCCACGTCCTTTTATTCATATATATACAATTGAAATATATTTGTATATCCAGTTTGAAAATGAATATGACACAAGAGGAGGCTGGATAATTACAGTTTCAGCTCATTTCATACAGATGAATAGCAATAAAAAGAAAGAGGCTTCGAAGATGGTAACATATTCTGCATATTTCATTAGAAAAAAGGTGACGTGAACCAAACAACACTTCCAAATGCTGTAAAAAATTCTGTTTATCATTGAACATATAATAAAATATATCTTTCAGATCATTTATAAGTTAATGCTACATTTACACTGAACAGATTCAGTCTTGTCGGCACTCGTCAGCGAGGGTTGAGCCTCTTCGGGGCAGTGGTCCGGTCTGTGTGTTGGTCTCTGCTCTGGGCAGCGCTGACCTCTCCTGAGCCCACCTCTGCTCCTGACAACACAAGAAAGAAGAATATTTCAAATGACCTAATTTAACCCTTTTGGTGCCACATGCAGCACACCCAGCATTGACAAATAACTCAAACTTTTGGAAAGGCAGTGTAAGTTATCTTTATTTAAAGAAGACTTGCTAGTTTTTTTTACCTGCTTCTGGCTCCGTCTTGAGCTTGCTGGCGATTTTAGCGAAGAATTTGAGGGTGAGACAAGCTCCTGTCTCCCTGTCACAAATGCCTCCCTTGCAGTTGCATGTCTTGCGGCACTCGACCCCATAGGTTCCATAGAGACAGTCTGGCAAAACAAAAAACATCGCATTAATGATCATTTTGGAACAAAGCGAGAGAAAATATTTGTGTAATTGAATGCCTCAGATACAGGCCCCACTTCTTAGTTAGTTTGTGAGTCACACTCACAGTCAGTGATGAACTGATCAGGGATCAGCAGGAACATTGACATGTCAGTGATTTAATATACAGCCTTAGATGATAGAAAGATAATCACCAAGTCAAATAACCACATATGTGGAGCACCTGTGCCTCCATATCCATTGGTTTTATGACAAAGCTGCTATTTATTGTGAAAATAAAACAGCCCACAGCCTTTAAGACTGAAAGCATGATGGGGTTCTGGTGCAGCAGAGCATCACTCCATTCCAAATGCATCATGCAGAAACAGCAGTAACATGTGACAGGCTATTTAATGTGATTGTACCTTTGCAAATCCCATATTCGTCTCCATAATCGTCCTCATCCTTGTAGAACTCGCAGAATAATCCCGGTCCGCACTTCACCCCGTCCATCCCCGACACGGTGCGGTAGCAGTGCTCCCCTCTGCCGGCCGCACAGACCTGGCAGCAGCCGCAGTCATCCAGGACGGTCCGTGCGCACAGCTGCGTCCCGCCGCACCGCTCCGCGTTGCATCTGTCCGGGCAGTTCACCGCGTACTTGACGCCGGCGCCCCACGTCGCCTCAGCGTCGCGCACCAGAAGTGAGGAGAGCACCGTGATGAGGAGCAGGGACATCACTGGATGCAGGAGGCGGGAGAGAGGAGCTTGTGTCAAGCTGCAGGCTGGAGAGGAGCCGGAGAGGAGCGGATCGCCTCTGGAAGACTGGAGTGGAGTGACCCGCGGTTCATCAGGTTGCGCGGTTATCAGCGATGAACAACTTTGTTGTTTTGCACATGGTTCGGCCTCGTCAGTTTCCTCATTCCGGTGTTGTCGTCCCCTCTCTGCCACTCAGCCCCCTTTTAGAGATCCGGCTTGGAAGTGGGATTGACTGTGCAGCGCCATCCAGGAATTGAAATCCTGTGTGACCTGATGTCATAAGTTATCTTGGGTTTGTTTTTAGAGGGTGAGACGGAGGAGCCCCCACGCAAGACCCCCCCCACACGTTTGTGGTGAAGTGAGCCAGGTTCAGGCCAAAATGTTTCCAGTCACAACATCCTCTGAGAGGAAATACACCGACAATATTTCACCTGAGGAAGTGACAGATTTATCAGTTTTTAAATGTGGGGAATTTGATCTAATTCAATACAACATTTAATAAAAAGCTTTCATTCAAATGCAAAAAAACTGAATTTATGGATAAGTCTACTAAAAAGTAGCTCCTTCTTTATCATATTCTATAACAAAGAAGGAACTGATTAGAATTAAAACATGATGTAAAGATTTAACACTGGCTTAAACCAAATGGAGTGTTTTAAAGTTTGCAGCCTGACTCTAGTTGTTGATAATGTGACAATGTGAAATTATTAAAGCATCATAAGATAACACACAACCCAAAATTGCAAACGTGAAGGGAAAGTTGAGCAATTTTGTTTTGTAGTTACATAAAAGGAATGCAACGGAGGCTGCTGCTGGGTCATGGTCAAGGTCCAGAACTGGATCTTCTGATGCAACATCATTAAGGTTATTTTCCAAACTTCTTCCAGAGCTACAAACGACAAGTGGTGCATCAGTTTTCATATACAGGTTGAGTAGATAATGAGTAAAGTGTGCTAAACGCAGTCCTCATTTTATCGACTGATAATCATCATTTACTTGCTTATTGTTATGATATTGGTTTGAGGGGGTGGGAGCTCAAATTTAGGTTTGGGCCGCAGAAATATTTTGTCTGGCCTGTCTGGATTCATGCACAGGCTGCAAGAAACCAGAAACTTCTATTTATTGTGGAACCAAAACCTGAACCCTAATCTCAACCAGGACAATTTGTGCCTCACCCTAACTGCAACAGAATCAATCTATCAAGAATCAATAATTATGCTGCAGATCCTACAGGTCCTGAAGAGGTAACACACACACACACACACACACACACACACACACAAAGTAAAGAAAAGAAAAAGCAAGAAAAACAGGATATAATATCTTATAGCTTATTATTATAATAATGATGATGATGATGATGATTATAATAATGATGATCAGGGGGAGGAGGATAATTATGATAATTGTAATGATACTGATTATTAGAATCATGGTAATGATGATGATGATGATGATGAGGATGGTTATTATGATGATAATAATCATGATTATTATAATTAAGATGAGGAGAAGGTTGATAATGATGCTGATGATGAGGAGGAGGATGATGATGATGATGATGATGATGATGATGATAATAAGAAGGAGGATGACAATGATGATGATGATGATGATAATAAGAAGGAGGATGACAATGATGATGATGTTGAGGAGGAGGATGATAATGATGATGATGATGAGGATGATAATGAGGAGGAGGAGGAGGATGGTTATAGTGTTGATAATAATGATGAGGAGGAGGAGGATGATAATGAGGAGGAGGAGGAGGATGGTTATAGTGTTGATAATAATGATGATGATAATGATAATGAGGAGGGTGATAATAACAATGATGAGGAGGAGGATGATAATGATGAGGAGGAGGAGGAGGAGGATGGTTATAATGAAGATAATAATGATGACGCTAGTTCTCACTCCATGACACAGGAGGGCGGTAGAGTAGTCCTCCAGCAGTGGTCTCCCTCAGTGCTCCAGACTGGAGTGGGCGAAGAAGAGGAGGAAAGCGGAGAAGAAGGTTGAGGTGATATTTGCGTCCGAGGGAGACCTCACCGGGACGGGACAGGTAGCGCTGACCTCTTATCGGCGGATGTTTACTGTCACGGTAACTCACGTGTGTGTGTGCTGTGTGTTTTCGTCGTGTAACTGTGAGCTTGACACGTTAGCACGATGCTAACGAGCCCCGGCAGCGGTGAGCCGGGAGCTGTCAGCGGGCAGACGGAGGGGCTTGGTCGGGGTTTTGACAGCAGGGCGAGCTGCGGCAACTGCAGCCAGCGTTAGCTCAGCTGTCACCGCCGCAGATGCTCCATAACGACACCGGTGTTTGTGAATGACACGGCGGGGAAAGGCTGCGTTTTATCACGCCCGTGTTTCGTCGCGGCGTGTGTCGGTGGAAACGGATTGAACGAACGTGATATAATAACACTGAGCTAACACACACACAGCGTTAATGTTGACAGACGCCTCGAAGTGAAGAGCAAAGATAGCAACGCAGCTCGTTATGAATAAATCAAACCATCCTGCCAGGTCAACTTCAGTCTATTTCCCATAATGCAGTGTTTCACTATTGCTTTTCCACTCCAGTCGTGAAGCTGCAGTCAGACACGAGGTTGAACTAACACACCATGATATCATCTGCATCCAAAGCTCACATCATCAGTGGTTTTCATTCCTGCATCCACTGTCCAAACACTAATGTGTTGAGGGTTGTCCTGGTAACAGCAGCACAAACTTCACCCAGCTCGGTCCTGGGTGACTTCCAGATCCTTCCTGACTAGAGAGAGTAAATATGAAACTGTAGATCCTGTTGTGGGTCGTCAGAAGGGGTCTTTAAACCACCAGGGCCCAAAATGGATGTGGTCAAATGACATACAGGTGGTAAAGCCTCATTTATCTTGGCTTGTGTCCGTGTGGAAGAAGATGGATTAAAAACAGAGCTATATTTCCTGGTAGATGAATGCCTGCTATCCTGCAGATAAAATGCAATCTTGAACAAACATGCTGTATCGACTTAATCTCTTTTATTCCTCGTCTGCTGAAGTGCGGGTTGGAGTATGTGCTATTTTTTGCTTTTATAGAAGAAATATTTGGGGTTAAGAGGGTTAGTTTGAAAATAAGTAAATTCAAGATGTCATTTAGGATGTTTTTCACAGTTATATTTTGAAATGTTTTATTGGGTAAATAATTAATAGGTTAACAGTAAATCTAGAATGTGTATACATCCATTAAAGCCAAACAATTGTACACATCTTATAATAGAAAAAAGCTAAAAGGAAAAATTGGATAATCTGCTGTAAATTGTACAAACTCGTTTTCTTTTCCTGAGTTTGGTTCAAATTGGTTCAGTACTTTTTAAGAAATCCTTGCCGACAAATACATAAACAAACAAATTAAAAAACTGAATGGAGAAGTGTTAATAATTTACAGAGCAGCTGATGGTTCGAGTTAAGACATTAAGACTGAGAGCCTTTCTCAGTAGGTTAGCTCATCTTTCTCTTCAGCATCATAGATAAGAAGCACAGTTCCTGCAGTTTGTCAGGACTGTGACAACGGTTTTGGCAAAATAAGACATGTTGAAATAGCTTTGTATAAAATGTGACCTAGTTATTCAGTCACTCCTCCTAATATCACTCACTTTTACTTTTCCGCTGGTCATACATGGAGCTGCCTGCAGTGAATGTTGAATATTGAATGAATGTTCATGTTTACTTGCAGATTTTTACTGCAGATGGAAATTAGCTGAATCTAGCATAAATCGTCTCTTCTCATGTTGTCAACCACTAATATTGGTTTCTGACATATGGAAGGTATTGCTTTTATCATCAAATAAAAGCTCCTGTATGAGCCCAATTTTTGTTTATTTTATTTTTATCTTATTTTTATGATATAAACAGTTTTTATGGTGTATGGGTAATTTAAATGGATCCACAATAGCAGACAGGGAATTGCAGGCTCAAGTCTGAAGCCAAATTCTGAGAGCACACTCGAGGTGTCCTGAGTGTTTTTGTGCCACAACACCATAAAGAGAGATTGTGTAATCAGTGATGGTTGTGCCTAACATTGCTGGTGGTTGCTTGCTGGAGGTCGCCTAACTGAAGAGCCCATTACTATATCAATGCTCGCTGTTATTTTTGGCCGATGTGGAAACCATATAGCCCCACAGGCCTCAGGCGAGGCAGCAGAGATGAGGCTCTGTGACCGTGGACCGTGGTCATGTGTGTCATGCTCACATATTTAGCAGGCTGTAACTAGCATTCTCTCACTCACGCCGGTTCATGTTTTTCTATAAGTTTTAATAATAGCAGGAGTCTCAGCCGTGTGCTGAGTGTGGGTATATAACAGTTCAGTTTACTCTTTGCTTGACAGAAATAGCAATTCATGAGAGATGCATTTGTATTAAAAGCATACATTTCCATCAAGCTTGAAAAACATAACAGTCATGAAAATTGTTTTTAACCTCCATGTAGGGATTACATGGTTTTCATGGGCTGAACTATTGACAAACCTACATGTGATCAACTTAGATGCACAAAAACTGAAACCTGTATTTATTTCCACTAAATGGCAACATCAGATCTGCGTTTAATTATTTATGATTATAAAACCGACAAAAATGCAGACAGGCAGGCAACCGGGTGGTCAGGTGGAGCCGCCTTGATCTTAATGTCAGAGCATCAGGTGATCAACTTTGACACGATGATTATTGCAACTGCATTCTGACGTAGACGCAGAGTATGAATGAATTAACAAGGGGGATTAGATTATTATCAACCATGTGACTAATCTCTCAAAGTAGGTTTCATTCTTTGTCATAGTATTAAACTAATACTTTCAAATGAAGATAGACAGAGCATGTGTCTTTACAGTCATTATTGCCTGTGAGACAAAAGGTTTCTCATTAGTGTGTTAGACGTAATCATAGGGTGAAGTGACCTATTTCAGAGATACCCACAGAGACTATGGCAAAAGCCTGGATGTATTGCATGTTGGAACAGGGCCAACACTAGGGAGAAATCTGAAACCTTCACAGTGAATTTACTTGGCAGGAAAATGCATTAGATCGTCGGCTTTCAGCAGTAAATGTTGCTTGTCAATCAATGATGGTGAGAAATGTGACATTTAACCATATTAATTAATCGTGGGGAAGTGATGTCTGATTTCTATATTTTATATCAGATAATCTGATCTAATCACATCTCCCTCTCTTTTATTCAGGTGTACATTACAGAATAGATAATGCACAGACATGGTGCCTTGCCAGACCCATGTGTTGCTAAAGTGGCAGGAGCACTTCAACAGCTCCTGGGCAGCAGAAGACGGCGTCCAGACCGCCAGGAGGCACCGAGCTGCTGCCCTCTACAGTAAGCTCCTCCACAACAAGGAAGTGGTGACTCTGGCCCAGCCTGTCCAAGAGCTCGTTGGCCCGCGCCTGCCTGACTTCGAATGCGAGTCCAGTGCCTCGGCGGAGAAGGAAGAGTACCTGTCGTCTCTGCTTCACAGCCAGCGATGGCTGGCTCACCGCATGCTGACGCAAACCTCCTACACCTTGGGCCTCCATCACAGGCTGGTTGTCCTTCAGAGGATCTACTACGCACTTCACAGCAAATACCATGACAAGTTCCGTGTGCAGCTGCCCTCGCAGTCCACAGACAGCGGGGCCGAGTGTGGGCAGCTTGAGCTGGCCTCAGAGCCTTGCCTGCCAGGGGCAGCATCCAAAATCAAGTCAGGTACAGATGTTCTGATAGAGATGGGGGTGAGGACAGGTTTGAGTCTGCTCTTCTCACTACTGCAGCAGAACTGGAGATACGCAGCCTCCGTGCACCCAGAGTCGGTGCTTTGCAATGATGTGCTCGCCACAGCGTCCTCGGTGCTTGCTTCGCTGCCACCGCTGTCTCTGGCCAATGAGAATAAGATCCCATCAGTGGGGCTGGACTGTCTGGCACAGGTGGCTGACTTCCTCAAGAAAACATCAGTGAGCAGTGGGACTGGCGGGGCAGACCCCACCGGTCGGAGGCTAGCACTGGAGCTGCTGCTCGGCCTGGCCATGCAAAGAGGCTCTCTGAAGTTTCTGCTGGAGTGGGTGGAGGTAGCTTTAGCTGCTTCCATGTCCTCCTGCACCTCCACACTGTCTTCCTCCTCCTCACTGAGCTCACAGCAGCCAGCGGGGGTCGGCTTTGATGTCATCCATCAAACCCTTTTCCAAATGAGGCAATATTCGGTATGTCACACATTATTCCAGTTGTGTGTTGTGTTTTTTTAAATATATTTTTTTACTCTTATTCCGTCAGTTCTGTTCAGTCATTACAGTTCTTAGTTTTTATTTCAACATTTTCATACCATAACACTGTGATACAAAATGAGTCATGTAATAATGTGCAGATAAGGATTAAGTGTGAGTCGGTCTTCCTGTCCTCTCTTGATATGCATATTGAGTCATCCTGTAGCAGGCTAATCAGCTTTGCAATATTTCTATATAAATGACAGCCAGGGTTGGGATTTGCCAATGACCTGAATAATAAGTGCACATGATCACAGTTTTAAGACTTTGCGTGTATATCTCACATATAAGCTAAAATATAGAGCTGAGAGATCAAACACCTTTAGGCAAAAAGGGAAAAACACCCTGAGGCTTTCTCTAGAAACTAGTATCTCCACTAAGAGCTGGTTCTTTGCCACTTTTTCATTCTTGACTTCACCCCTCCTCCTGATCATGTATTGACATGTCACAGTTTTTAGAATGAGACCTTTCTTGTTCTGATAACTCTGGTTTAGAAATGTAATAAAGGTAATAAAAAGTGAACACGCAAACAACTGTAATATTCACACAAACAGTTATACTACATTAAAAATGATAAAGGCCAAACAATACTTTTTCCAGGGTGTCCGTGGAGACTGTGTCAATACTCAGGTGCTGATAAAGGACGCAGATGGACTTTGTCGACTCTCCCAGGCTGCTCTCTGTCTCTTTGAGGAGGTAACATTAATGCAGTGCCAAACTATAGACACCATTATGAACTGTTACTGATGCTGATACTTCTCAGTAACTGATTTAAAGAACCCCACCTTCCTTCTCTCTGGCAGATTTGTAACCTGGCGTCCTACTGCCTGTGCTCCTGCAGCACTGATGCAGCTTCTCCTGGTGCAGAGAGCGATATGGTCATGGTGTACGTGTGGGGCAGCAACAGCAGCCATCAGCTGGCAGAGGGAACTCTGGAGAAGATCCTCTTGCCAAAATTGACGCAGGGCTTCAGCGATGCTCAAATGGTATGGTTATTCATAAGAACAGCACTAACACTGACTCAGATTATCACGTTACAGGTTCATTTATTGTTATACCTCCTTTATTATTACCCTTTATATTAAGCCATTATATATTATTATATATAGCCAACATGGTTTTGAATATCCAGTATTTATATACTAGTGTTCCCACAGAATTGATTCAGTCCGAGTGCAGGTGCTTGTTGATTGGGTCATACAAAGTTGTACTCGTCCATCCTAAATCTTTATTTTTACTTTTAGATAATGCATATTATTCTATTTGACTTTTTGTGACATTTCAATGCAGTAATTTGTTACCTGAAGGTCTCTGCAGTGTACATTTATACAGTAAATCTTATGTGCCACATATGCCAGAATCACTGCAGTTTGCACGACTGACCTACATGTGTAACTGTGGAAAAATATCATATCATGCCAGAGACTTTATACATGTGGTTCTGCAACATTACTTCTGATTCTTTATTGTTCTTACTTTTAGATTGAGGCGGGTCAGTACTGTACATTCTCTGTCTCTGCGGATGGTTCTGTGAAAGCATGTGGAAAAGGCAGCTATGGCCGTCTGGGTCTGGGGGACTCTAATAATCAGTCCATGCCCAAGAAACTTGTGCTGGAGCCACATAGGAACATGAAGAAAGTTTCCTCCTCCAAGGGCTCTGATGGTCACACTTTGGCCATCACTGTAGAAGGAGAGGTAAGAAGATAAAATGACTTCTGAAACTGAAATAACTTCTGATTGCTTGTAAACATTGCAAAGGTTTGCATGTCGGTAATTTAACTTACAGGTACAATTTTGCAATTTCTTTGAAAAATGTTTCTTCAAGGTGTTCAGCTGGGGAGATGGAGAGTATGGAAAACTCGGCCATGGCAACAGTGCTACACAGAAATACCCCAAAATCATACATGGACCACTGTTTGGCAAAGTAAGCAAACACATGAGGTTTAAGGGAGTTAAATCTGTTATTCATGTTGTTTTTGAAAATTGAATGTATGACCATGTTTCTACCAGGTCGTGGTTTGTGTGTCTGCTGGCTACAGACACAGCGCTGCTGTGACTAATGATGGAGAGCTCTATACGTGGGGAGAAGGGGACTTTGGCAGACTTGGTACGCACCTCAATTCTCATGTTGCTTATCTAAATCAACACCATCAAAGTGAAATTGATCCTTAATGCTGCACTAACCCCCTCCCTGACCAGGTCACAGTGATAGCCAGAGTCGGAACATGCCCACGCTGGTGAAGGACATCAGCGGCGTAGGTCAGGTGGCCTGTGGCAGCTCCCACACCATCGCAGTGGCGCAGGATGGACACACTGTGTGGTCGTTTGGTGGAGGAGACAACGGTATGTGTACAACAAATGAGCTCAATCAGGGAATGTGATACTTTTTGTGCTCATTAAAACAGACATTACAACAGCAGACACATTTGTCTAATAACAGAAATGTCTTGAGCGAGTGTGAACCAATACTCGTTCTAAAGCTGTTCCTCATCCTTGCAGGTAAACTAGGTCATGGAGACACTAATCGTGTGTATCGCCCAAAGGTCATAGAGGCCCTGCACGGATTCATCATCAGAAAAGTGTGTGCTGGCAGCCAGTCGTCTCTGGCTCTTACTTCTGCTGGACAGGTGTGGTATTCTGGGTCAAAGAAGATTTTTTTACTGTCCCACATGACAGCTGTTTCCAATTTAATTCCAAAGATCGTCCGCATTGCTAACTGTACTTGTATAAAACTAATCCTCTTACAAAAAGCAGTGTAACCCACTTTTATCAAATTTAGATTCCCTTTGAAGGCAAGCTTTTATGTTGAAGGAACATGCTAACACATGCACATTGTTATCTGTCACTCTCTTCATTCTTCAACAGCCGTTAATATTTTCAGTACAAATAATGAATATGGGTTAGGGTTGATTATTACTAGATGTCAATGATGCATTAATCGTTCAAATTCATGTTACTCCTCAGGTGTTTGCATGGGGCTGTGGCTCGTGTTTAGGGTGTGGCTCCTCTGAGACGACCTCTCTGAGGCCCAGGTTCATCGATGATCTGAGCATCACCAAGATCATTGATATCTCATGTGGAGACAGCCACTGTCTGGCTCTGTCTCATGGTAAGACACATGCTGAACACAGACTCCTGCTTCCAGAAAATGTTTTGCACAACAACATTTTGCAGAATATCCAACAAGATTCTCAGTGACACATTCTGAGCTTTTAACCTTGAATCTTAATTTTGTGGAAATTAAAAGTGCAGATCTGCTCCAATTGCCAGATGTGCTGTTTTTCTTCCATCAGAGAATGAAGTGTATGCCTGGGGGAACAACACCATGGGCCAGTGTGGGCAAGGCCACACTTCTACACCTATCACTAAACCTAAGAAAGTACTTGGTCTAGAGGGTGTGTCCATCCAGCAAATCACCGCAGGCACTTCTCACAGCCTGGCCTGGACCGCAGTTCCAACTGACAGGTAACATCTCAACTCAATATATTTTGCTCGTCTGCAAAGAATACTGTCTCTGTGCTGCAATGCCCCCAATCAGAGTTCTACTGCTGAACTTTAAAGTTGCCTCACACCCTTTCAAATTTGAGATTCACATTTGTGCTGGCACAGCTTTTTTTATAACTGACTTGGTCTATTTCCAGGCAACTGGTGGCATGGCACAGGCCCTTTTGTGTCGACCTGGAAGAGAGTACATTCGCCTACTTGCGCAACTTTCTGGAAGGTTACTGTGATGGCATCGGGGATGACACACCTCCTGCTCCATTCTTATCTAAAAGGTATGAAATAACCTTACCATTACAGTCAGCTATGATGATATGCTTAGTTACCTCAAGGTTTTCTGTATCTGTTCAGTAAAGACTCAGATTCAAAATATCACCATCACCAGGACATGTGCACTTCACTGAAGCCACACTGCTCTCTGTGTCTCTTCCTCAGGGACCACCATCAGTTTCTTTTGCTGTGCATGAAGCTGCTGTCCATCCATTTGTCTTTGGCCCATGCTGGGGGCACTGGTGCCATGGTTTTGGGGGCTCAGAGCCGACCTCTCAGAAACCTGCTCTTCAGGCTCATAGACACCAAAATGCCAGACTCCATACAACAGGTGAGGAAAAAGGCTGTCCTTTTCTAAATGATTTAATGCTGTATTTATAGTCACATATGACAGAAGGAATGCGAGGAATCGTATGTATCGAATGTTGGAATAAAAACCAAGATAATTACTAAGCATTGTGTCTAAATTAAAATGTGAGTCAAGGTGTCAGGTCCCATTTGTCCTAATGTATTGTTTGCAGTAAATACTCATACTGTGCTGATATTCCTTTCCATCCTCAGGCAGTTTTAAACACGTTGTCTATTGGTGCTTCTCTGCTGTTGCCTCCACTGAGGGAAAGAACAGAACTGCTGCTCTCCCTCCTTCCTCAGGGCCCTCAGAGCTTGAATGTCCTCTCCAAAGGCCAGGTATGTCGAGGTCTTTTGTGCTATTTTCACAACAGTTATAACCAAATGGCTTCCCTCATTTTTATCCTGATACACAGAGTTGGCGAACAGTGTATGTTTGTCAAACTCACTCCAACAATTTGGAGTGTTGCTAGGCAATATGTGAAGTCTGCTTGAATGTTGTGAAATTGTGTTGCTGTAAAAACATTATTCCTTCTCTGCAGAAATGTTTTTGGTAGCCTCAGACTTTAAATGATCAAATGATTATGCAGTTCTCTCCTCTTCTTTTACAGCGTCTTCAGTTAGACATGGTCCTCAGTAGCCTTCAGGACCAGAGCCATGTAGCTTCTCTACTCGGTTACAGCAATTTTGGTGAGGTGACAGCCCTCGGACCCCCTCTGACACCTGCTGTGTCAGTCCGGCCGCCTTCTTCATCCAGCTCCGCTGAGTCCTATGACCCTCTGCACTTAGCAGAGGTGCTCCTCAGAACCCTGCTCCTCAGCATAGGCTTTTACACGGTATGCAACAGAGAGCCTCATGTGTTGCATTGTTTTACCAGCCTTTCTGCTGTTCCTTTAAATCCTGTACATTCTGGTGGACATTCTAAAAATAGAGTGTTGTTCCTATTCACCCACCCACATTAATTTTCTTTTCTTGTGTGTGCTCATATAGGAGCGGGCATTCGGGGAACTGGAGAAAAACAGTGACAAGCAGCTTTCTAGTGATAGCCAGGGACAAACTGATCCTCCCTGTCACTTCCACCAGCTGCTGTCTGGACTTCACAAACACCTGCTTGCCCATTGCTACATCCATACCAGCCATGAGGTGCACTACAGTAACAGCTATACAAAATACAAATTATACATTATTACAGAATTAACAGGCAGAAACTGTGACCATTATTTTTGTTAAAAACAGTACACAATATATATTATACTAATACATGTTGTATTTTTTAAACTAATATTTTGTCATTTTAGGTTCACACTGATTGTACTGTTCTGCAGGACGACAGCAGTGTAACGCTGCTTCGTGAGCATCTTTACCTGCTGCTTCCCTGTGCTACTGAGACCCTCAAGAGATCCACCAAACTGTTGAAGGAGAGTTCCCTGGATAAACAAATCATCAAGAAGCTTAACAGTAAGACTAATGGCTGTCAACATATGAATGTCATTATAATGTTGTAACTGTTTATATTTACTGTAGTTATGTCATTGGTACTTTTCTTATTTCCATACAATCGAATTAGAAAACGTCAGGGAAGTGATTTATTTCAAGTTTTTGTTATTTAATGACCCGTGTAGGGGCATTTTCAAACATTTATACAGGTGTTTGGTTGATCAAAACTGACATCTCAGTTGATCTTATGAAAAGCACATATACACATTCAACAAATGCATTTCAAAATTTATACCTAAACCTTCTATGTTATCAGTCTGTAGTTTTCAGTTATTTTTATCAGTGAGTCTAATCCCTCTTTCTCGTCTCCCCCTGTGTCCCAGCGGTGTTGTACAACTCAGTGGCTGGCAGCCTTCTGTGCCAGGTAATGTACTCCTTGCTGCTGCTCCCGCTGAGCACAGTTCAACCCCTCCTCAGCCATTTACTGGCCTTGCTGGAGCAGCTCAATGATTTCAATAGGTTGCTGCCAGAGACAGAGCTCTTGGAGGAACAAGAACTGGGGATAGAAGCTCAGAAGACCTCTTTGGGTGAGTGGATTTTGACTTACCTGATTAATTGAAAAAAAAAGATGGCACATTTTAAATTTATGACTCTTCCTGGAAAAATATAGATGAGTTTAACAATGATGTGGGCTCTTCTCTACAGATAAAAGTGAAGAAAACCAATGCCTGGGACAGCAGCAACAGGAGGAGGAGTGCAAGTGGGCTTGGCTGTTAGACCTAGAACGGTCTGTATCGTTGGCAGTCGGCCGTTGCCTTGGTGGTATGCTGCAGGGCCCGCCGCCCTCGCTCCCGGAGAAAACGTCAGAGTTCTGGCTATCAAATATCCTGCTCAGAAACGGGCTTGAGATGGACTACGAACAGCTGGGTAGTAAAACAAACTGCTCGCCTTCCCTGCATTCACGTGTGCTAATGTTTTGACAAACAGAGACCAACTGATTGCAGTCTCATTCCCAATGTGTGACCACATTCTGTTAAAACACTCAGAAAAACTATGAAAACACATTGTTAGTTGTAAAAAAAAAAAAAGGAAAAGGCACAAGGATTTTGGTGAGACTAGTAATGTTTAAGGACCGTTAAATACGCTTTTGGTTTTGTTTCACTAGAGGATAGAGGATTTAGTGAGGGGAGTAACAAACAACATTTTCCCTATCTTACTATACATGGTACACATCTTAGACATGGAAGCCACAGAGACACCCTGTTATTTAAAGTAATAGTTTTATTATGATAATGATAAAAAAGACTGTAATTTCCTTAATGCTGTGTTTCATCTGTCATCCTGTGTCATCGCTTTGCCATATAGACTCTAACATGGCATGGCTGACTGAGGTGGTGCTCCTGGGCAGCAGCGATGCCCGGCTTGCAGAGCTGAGTCTGAATGAGGAGACCAGGACTTTACTGGAGCTGGCTCTGGGATCCTCCAGAGGAGCTGCATGTGGAATGTGGAGGAAGATGGAGGAGTATGCTCAAAGCAAAGGTACTTTCACGTTTTCTGTTTGTGTGCATGCATGAATGCCTCTGTTTGAATAATTAAAATGTGAAGCTGTATTGTTTGTTCTGAGAGCAGAATGGGAGAGCGGAGGCTCTTCAGGTGACTGTTTGCTGCAGACGGTCTGTCGCTGCTGTCTGGCTGCTCTTCTGAAACACTCAGGTCTGCAGAATGAGGCCTGCTGGCAGGACAGGTTAGTAAAACAGATATTACATTAAATTAAATACCTTATAATTTATTTTGACACTCTAAAAAACTCAAAGGCACCTATTGTTGAGGACAGTTTGTCATTTTTAAAGAATATAAAGATGTGATTGAAATGTTACAGCAACATCTTTATTGCAGTGCAGCACAATGCTAATTATCCACTCCATTTCCTCCCTCTATCTCGAAACAGATACGAGCCCTGTGAGATGCTGTTAGACGTCTATGAAACAGTTTATAAAATCAGAAGCACTCTGCTGGCACATAAAAACTCTCTAAGGACGTCACAGGTGCAGGCTGCTGCCAAACAGGTAAAAAAATAATAATGTCACAATGAAATATATGAAGTGCAGTAATTTAGCGTAGGGCAAATTACAGTGAATTCTAAACTTGGAAATATGCATGGCTGTTTAAATATAATAATCACAGGAGAAAAACACTGTTGTATATATAACATATTTAATGCCTCTGCTTTTGCTCTCTTGAATTGCAGACTGTTCAATCGCCCCCAAGTCCTGATGTAGACAGGCAAGAAGCAGGGCCCTCAGTGGAGCAAGTGGGAAAGGATCATGTGCAGCCGGCAGTGGGTCAGTGTAGCCAGGAGGTGCAGGTAACGCTACCTCCCACAGCCAACCACAACCAGGAGGAGGTTGCAGAGGAGGATGCGTTTGGCAATAGTCGTATGTACCTGTCAGGTTAGAAATGCATATCTCTAATCTGCCCTCCCCCAGAAATGTTCAGTATTCTTTGCTTTGTATTTAAAAGTTTGTAGGCAGACCCAATCAGAAGTATTTGTTTACCACAGGCACCAAAGTCTTTTTAATGTCTCTGCAGAAGTCCTCGAATCATTCATGGCCACCCGGGAAGCCATGCAAGTGCAGCAGAATGTGACAGTTTACGAGTCCTTCGGCACCTCCACCCTCCCCAGCAGCATGGAAAGCCCTGTCAGTCCGGACAGGGAGCAGGATCCCAAAACGCATTGGGAGACGCAGGGGGATTCTGAGGAGAACTTGTCTTTCCCCGCCGCCTGCCATCTGGTGGTGTCCCGCTGTCTCTTCCTCCTGCTGGGGGTTCGGCCTGCTTGGGTGGAACCTGGCGAACGGGAGAACAGTCCGGCTACAAACGCTGGAGCGAGGTAGAGTTTGTGCCGAGCCGTGTGTTTGTTTATCAGTTTTGTCTCAGAGCAGTTGTGTTTTCTGTGAGCTGTGCTTCAACTAAGTGTTCGCATCTTCCCACTTTCAGGAAATCATCAACAGAATCCTTTACAATGGCTGCTGATGGCAGAAAACAGGTTAGTGTTGTTCAGTAACAAATTGTGGACCTACACCCCCGTATCAGTGCTAATGTTCTGTCTTTGTCACCTTTAGTCCGACCAATCCAAAACGTCCTTGGGATCATCCAAGAATAAAATGGGTAAGTGTAACAAGTTAATCCTACATTTAACAATGAGTGCCTTTAGTTTGAAATGTCATGCCCTTCAGTCCTGTATGATTTTCTTATTTTCTCTTATGAATATATTAGTACCACTCCGGCCAGTAGCCGATTTGCTTGGCTAAGCATAAAACCTGGCACTGTCAGAACCCCCTGTAAAACAACACATTTTTGCTTTTAGACTTTGGTTTTTGTTTAGATTGATTAATCAAGATATAACATGTCTTCTTTCCCAGAAGATTTCATTAGTGAGAGAAATCACACCCATAACAAAGTTAACACTGAATGATTAACACTCTCTTCTATACTCTGTCTGCTTCAGGCTTACCTCTGTGTTCACTGGATATCATGAAAGACGCCTGGGACCGCCTGCGACAGTGCATCAGCCCGACAGCAACCATGTCCCACAATGGCAACAACACTTTGCCGATTCTTAACCAGGTGTTCCACTTTGCATGTGGAAGCCTGATCCACTTTTCATCCTCCTCACCAACACTGCTGGCTGGACAGACGTGTAGTCAGGCAGATCCAAAGGCCATTTCGTTTGCTATACTGCAGCAACAACAGAGGGCTGAGGTGAATAGATATTTATTTTATGTGAAATTACAAACAAACCTTTAAGATTGTTACTGAGAAATTAGACCTCTTTTCCTCCAGCTATTTGTTTACCTATTACTGTAACAAAATGAAATGTAATCGGCTACACAAGTAACAACTAACTACCAACATATCTTTGTTATGATCAGATGCGACTGGAGGCCTTGTGTCAGATGTCGTCCTTCTTGTCAAAGATGGAGGAAAAGAGCAGTGGGTGCACAGTTGCCCGTCAGTTTCCTGCATTGCTGCAGTCTGTGCAGCTTCAGTTCCTCTCTGGATGCTTTGCTTTGGGAACGCATATCATTGGCTCTCCCTCAGGAGCTTATTATGAGACGCAGCATTACATGGTACGTGAAGAAATCATGCTCTCACGTTGCTTGATTAGTAAAGATGGAAAGAAAGAAAAAATGAATTAATGTTTAATCCAATCAGATGGAGAGAGGGGGAACATTCTCAGTGTATTGAATTTATTTCTTACTGTGTTGTTGTATTAATAACCCATACCTCATATCTCAATCCAGTCTGGTACACATTCAGCTTGTATGGATACGCAAAGGGAGCTACAGTCTGCAGCCCACACCTTCTTCCAGCAGGTGGTGCGTGTCCTCAGACAGAGAGTCCTGTTTGAAAAAGAACACACGGGTTTGTTTGCTCTATTGTTTTGCATCATTTTAACGTGTTTATGTTTCATTTAAACATCATTGAACCACTCCCCCTTGGCTATTATTTTCTGCAGTTTACATTTTTCTGTGCCATATTCTCTCTGCTGTACCCAGGTTCCTGTCAGCACCTTCTCCTGGCCACAATGTTTGCACTGAATTTCTGTTACCAACCAGTGGACCTGGTGCTGGTAATCAAATGTGGCATCCTGGATGTCCTGTCTGTGCTGACAAACAACAGCTGTGCTCTGATGAACCAGAGCTGGTTTGCAGCCTCTGCATCTGGATCCATGTTAATGAATGGGTCTGTCAGACTAGCTTGTACGCGCCTGCTTCAGATACTGACTGTAGCTGCAAGGTGAGAACGTGGAAGCTTTAATCGGCTGTAAAGAAGTGTGCATGACTTCTTCTACTAAATAATATGTCTAGATTTGCTTACCAAGTTCTCCCGTTTTCAGCTCCTGTGAGGATTCACTGCCTCTCGACGTGTCCCAAGCTCTAATGGAAGTGATGTGTGAGCAGCTCCAAAATGTCCTGCACACTTTCCACCAACAGCAGACAGCGGAGAGAGGAGCAGCTGAGAGAACAGATCTCGACTCCAGCAGCAAGAGCGCAAATCTAGTTGGTGTGGCAAATTTAGCTGTATTGAAGTAATTGTCAATGTAATTTAATGAAAGAGCACAGTTAAATGTATCATTTTGAAAAGACAGATGTGGCATTTGTGAAGCTATGAAATAGCCCTTGTGTGTTTTTGAGCACAGTCCTCCTGTTGGTTTATTGTTTCAGGAGTAGAAAGCAGCAAAGTGGTTGAATCTCAGCTTGCAGACTTCTTGGTGTTTCTGAGGCGTGTGCTGTCTCTACGAGTAATGAAAAGACTTTCTACTTTTGTCAAATGGATCGATCCACTCATGGCCATTATTTTGCACAAGTGCCCTTTAGGTAAAGCTCTTCAGAATAATAAATTAAAACAGTGTTGATGTGGTTTACAGTGCAGAACATTTACATATGTTCCTTGTAATTCTCTTTTCAGGATCTCCCTGCTTCCAGAACCTTCGCACTAAGCTCCTGGCGTTTCACGTTTTAGAAAGACTGTTACCTGCTTGTTCTGAGCCAGTTCAAATTCAGCAGGTACAATGCAGCGTGCAGTGATTTAAAAAATGTACTGAGTTAAAGTTCATGGCAAGAAATTGTTCAGTCACAGTAACTGAAGAAGACAATGTATTCGACGATGTATTCTTGATTAAAAAGACTGGCTCCCTGACATGTTCGTTAACTTGAAATTATACATTAAGATGGATAAATTGTCAATTAAGTTTTTTCTATTTTTCTGTGCCTTCTTGTAGATTGTTAAACAACTCTTTCAGCTCTTGTCTGTTTATATGTGGGATGAACCACTCACTGAGAGGAACCACGAGGAGGAGAAGGAAAAAGACACAGGGGTAAAAAAAACTTAAACAATACTATGTAACATACTTTTACTACTGTATAGCATATTGCTATTTAACCAGCATTGTAGTCTGTTTATCTTGTCAGAGGAAAAGTTGTACAAAATGTTTCTGCAACTCTGTTAACTCAAGTAATGTATTTATTCATTCATAAATTAATTGAAGTTACTGAAACCAATTTCTGTAACACAATTCCCATAAATTCTAAATGCATGATGTAAATAACCTCCTAGCCAATAATGTTTTATTTCAGCACATGTTTTCAGACTTCGTTTAAAATATTCTGTTAGCTTAATAGGAATATCCTAAAGGAAAGTGCCTAGTCTTACTTATGGGTTTTGAAAGAGTGAATTCATGAATGTGAGAGAAATGCAGTCCTGGCAGTGATTAAACTGAAAACAGCAGGGACACTTGATAGAACAGATGGGTATGTTATCCATGGTGGGGGCAGGAGGCAAAGTCGTGAAAAAAAAGGGAAGAGAGGAAAATAAAACCAAATGATAACTAATAAGTATAACATTACAAAGAATATTACAAGAATAAAAAGCCTTGGGTATGAAAGGATTTTTGTGTTTTAGCTATTTCTGTTTGAGTAAAGAAGTTAATGTCATATATCATTTTGTTGTGTCACTGCATCTTTGTATTTTTCATTACATATATCCTCTTTATTTGCACATTGCAACATGTAATTTATTTATATATTCAGTTGATGGACAATGCTGATATAGAGTGCTAAGTGTTGTCCACCGCATGTTTTGCAGAACCCTGGCAGCTACGATGAATGTATTCCCATTGGAGATTTTTCCTTTGACCCACACAAGCTGGTCTGTTGTTCTTTGGAGAGTGGGAACATACTCTCCCATGGCTCAGGAGGGAAAGGTTACGGCCTGGCAACCACTGCCATCACCTCTGGCTGTTTCATATGGAAAGTAAGGACTGGAATCAGCTTTTTCCTCCTTTTGTGAAGAGATTTTACCACTAAAATGTGAAATAACCTGACATGAAATCAACTTCTCTTCGCAGTTCTACATTACCAAAGAGAACAGAGGCAATGAGGGCACATGTGTGGGCGTGTCACGCTGGCCAGTCAGAGATCACAACCATCACACCACCACTGATATGTGGCTGTATCGGGCTTACAGTGGCAACCTGTACCACGGAGGGGAACTGGTCCGCACACTTCCCTCTTTTACCCAGGGAGACACCATAACCTGCATCCTGGACATGGAGGCTCACACCATTTCTTTTGCTAAGAATGATAAGGTCTGATCAAATACTCAGTTGTCATGTTGAAGCTTTGTGCTAAATGACTTTTAGATTTTTTTCTACAATGTCTTGCACTTGTTTTTTTCTGCCAGGAGCCAAAGTTGGCATTTGAAAGTGTGGTTGCCTCTGAACTGTACCCGTGTGTGTTGTTCTACAGCAGCAATCCTGGAGAAAAGGTATTTCATATACTCTGCATACAGTAGGCTCAAGGGGCACTTATGTTTTTGGACCCAAACATTTTCATTATTGATAACTACAATCCTTGACCACGGTTAGAATAAACATATCTGTGGATTGCATTAATATTAGGACCCAGGTAGAGAACAGGTAATTGTCCACACAATGAAAAAAATACCAATACTATTATTAAGTCATTTGTAAATGGTGAGAAAATGGGTTTGCATGGCTTTTCCAATTTGCAGTACTTTGTAGTGCACCAAAACTTTACCTCTGTATTTCTTTCAGGTGGCCCTGCGTGACCTGCAGATGAGGGGCATGCCCAGTAACCTACTTCCTGGAGATCCCCTCTGCAGCCCTCGGACGATGGTGCTGCTGGAGTCAACAGTGCATCTCCTCCGTCGGCTCCATCAGTGTGACACGTGGGCCTTGCACATCAACCAGTACATCCACACCCACCTGGAGCTCATTGGTTTTTTGCTGAAAGAGGACGACTTAGGATGCTTCAGTCAGGGTCAGACACACGTTAAGATTTATTTAATTTAGTCTGCTGTTTTGTTTGAAAATGAATGATTCTTAAAACCAGGCTATTGTGTGGTTGATTTTCTCCCTCTTACATTCTCCCACAGGCTTCAGCTCCACACGCTTTGAGAAAGAAGAGACTGAAAGGGAAAAAGGCCTGGCTGGTGACGACACAAGGGAACTGCCAGCACATCGCCGGTCGCTGTCAGAGGCCAAACTGGCTGCTCTTTGCACTGAAGTGTGGCCAGTACTGGCTGTGATCGGAGGAGTGGACAGCGGTCTGCGGGCTGGAGGTCTGTGCTTGCACAAGCCCAGTGGACGTAGGGCTATTCTGCTCGGTGTCCTGAAAGAAGGAAGCTCCCTGGTCAAGCTCCAGTGGGAGGAGGCGGAACTCTCTGTCAGGTATTATAAAAATAGATTTATAGTTATTCCATAATGATGATTCTCATTATCCTCCATTAAACAGTTATTATATTTTTCTTGTCTTGGTCCTCTCAGCATCTTTATTACTCTGTATAATTCTTTTCTGTTAGTGTTTATTTTTCTTCTTTTGTAATTTGTCTAACATTTTACTTTATTTTCACCATTTACCCCTCTGATCTTACTTTCTTCTTGCCTCTTCTTCTTCATTCTTAAATCCATTAATCCCTGTTGAATCCGTCCTGGTGTCAATCCATGCTCTATCTGTGGGTTCTTCCCCATCCTTCGCAATAACTAAGCTCCATGAATTCTTGGTCACCCAGCGACACCCCGGCCATCTCACTGGAGCCCTGCGATGTATCCTGCTGCGACGTCAGCCGCCTCGGAGGTCTCAAGCCAACAGTGTTGTTAGATCTGATTTATTTGATGGGGCTGCTGGAGGAGCAGGGGTGGCTGGGAGCTTATCCTCCCGCCAAAAGGAAATACTCAGAGGAAAACACGGAGACACAGAGCTGTCTGGATGAAAACCTGTCAGATGAAATCGGATGGTTGACAGAAGAGGACAGGAAAAAGTGTAAGGATCAGAAGGTTGAGACAGACCCCTGCATTTCACCGCCCTCAAACAAAGATGCCTCAAAGATTGCTGACCATCAGGAGTCGACATCTCAACCCCTACCTCACCAAACATCTCAAACCTCTAAAGTTGATGCCTTTGCACTTGAACTGAGAGCAGTTAGAGTCTCATATCTTCTCATCGGAGCTCTGAAATCCCTTACTGTCATTTTTAGCTGTGAGAAGCTATCAGATATGCTTCTAGTGCCAAAACATGACCCCTCCAACTCCTCAGTGAGTCCCCTTTCCAGCCTGAACCCTGAGCAGGCTAAGGGCAGCTGCAAACAATGGGATGAGAGTGCTGAGCTGAGATCAGTGCTGCAGTATGTGGTGCAGAGCATGGTGAAGTGGGCGGTCAGGCCCTGTCCCATCAAACAGAGCGTGTCTCTATCCGACCTGGAAAGGGCTCAGGTCATGATCTACAAGGGAGCCCTGAATAGACTGCAGGAGGACAAAGAACGCAAAGGTATCTGCATTTAAAGATTTGATCTGGTATCCATTTTTGTCAGGTTACTGTAGTGCAGAGCTGGAGATGAGAAATTTGGATCAAATTATCTGATCAATTGTCTGTCTTTCAACTAATTGCAGCTCTAGTTGATATTTAAAAAAACACTTTTAACTCATGGAATATGTTGAATTCAAATTACTTGCTCATGATCTAAATACTTGACGGACTTAAATCTTGCATTGCCCTTACAAAGACTTTTGAACTGACTCAGACTTATGCTCAAGGATTCTCACTGACACTATGTTGTAACCTTCATCACTCTGTTTTTTGTGCAGAATCAGGCCACAACTTGTCCTCTCAGCCCATCTCCAAGTCTTCCAGCTCTGTGTCCTTGTACAGCGCGGGTTCAGAGGGCACCGCCATCTTCGGCCAATCAAACAGAGCGTCTGCCTCATCCTCCAACACGGACTTGGCATCGTCTCTGCCAACAAACCTGCAGACGGACGGCCTTGATAATTTCAACCCTTTCCTCCCCATCAGCCTCCTCCAGTGAGTAGAAAAATATGAATTTGATTTAAGTATGCAATAATAAAAGCTTGGTACGGCTCATTAATAGACACAAACACATTAACTGGAGTCATCATTCTCATGTGACTGATTGCTACAGACCTGTATCTTTTGGCAGCGGCAGCTTGTCTGAAGTCCAGGGAATGGGTGAGTTAGGATCTGTATGAAAAGAGGAGAGTGAGGATTCTGCTTGCTCTGTCCTCAGTCTCAGCTGCAGCTCTGCCTGCTTGTTTTTCTCCTAACCCAGCCAGTGGACCTGAGTGTCAGTGTCACTCCTGTTTCGAGAAGTGAATAAACAGCTTCAGGGCTGTGTAACAAAATCAAAGTCATCCAGGGAGGAGACTTTGAGTGAGAGCTCCCAGCCAAAGTGCTCCCATAATACACAGCACATATTGTTAGCAGGCTTAAGCAAAACCTTGACATAAAAAAATACATGCTGGAATAACTGTGTCTTTTAAGCATCTTAAATCAGGTTAATTAAACCTCACCTTATAGTTTTAAGATAATATTATAAACGTTTGTTTTGGACTGAAGACTGTTAATGTAATACCTCCTGCACTGTGTTATTACTGTACATACTATATGTTCGCTCCCTCTAGGCACATGGTACTAACTCGGTTCCCCACGCTTACCGGCCTGGTTAGTGCTCCCCCCGTTCTGCACCCTTGCTTCAGCCTGGCCAGCTCTGCTTCTTGTGACGCCTTCACAGAGCAGCAGACTAGCTTCATGGAACCAGGTCCTTGCAGCACACAGGCCAGGAGCAGCCTGGGTAAGAACAGATGCAGAGACGTTAATGGTGGAAGAGCTGTAAGAAGTCAAAGTAAAGTGAAGTAGTACATAGACGGTAACAAACCTTTTCCCCATGCTGGCTCCATATGCAAACATGCTATTAATGTAATTGAAAAATCTGTCTCTTGCATGATCTTATATTTCCAGCTACTTGTCACAACTTAATCTGCAGCTCAAAACAGCATGTGTTTTGCTCTGTCATTAGACATTTATTGTTGTCACAACTATGGATTGCATGCATAACACAAGTTTGTGCACTTACATGCTTGAATGGCACCGTTTTTCTCATTGTCACTTATGTTGTTGTTATTTTTGAACATTTCTGAGAAGTTCATTAAACACAGGATACATTAGGATTAACAAGCTAGTTGATTGGTAGGTGCAATCATTCATTTAAGAGAACTAAATTGAAAAGGTGTACTGTAGATAGGATAGGAGAGGTTTTTCTTTGCCAGTAGACTAATAAAACAAAATAGAAAATAAATAAAAAATAAAAACTGTTAACATTATTTAGTTTTCTGCTATATTCCACAGCATTTACATTTTTAAAAATGTAGTCGTGTGCTTGCTTTTGTTTTCTGTTTTTCCTTTTCTCCTCAACCACCAGAACGGACACAAATGTTTGTCACCAGTCGGTTGCTAGAAATGGGATTCTCTATGAGACATATCCACTGGGCCATGGAGGCAGCAGGTACTGCTTTGTGGAGTGTGTCTGATGCCATAAAAGTTTTTTGCTTCATGTGCTTTCTATTTTAAAACATCTGTCTTTCACTGTGAGCCACAGCCGTGTAAAAAGAAAAGTATTGTTCTGTGTGGAGAAAAATGCTTTTTCTTTGATAGAAAATATCACAGTTTTAGGATGAAGACAATGCTGTTACTAATGGTGGACATTAACCTAGATTTCAGTACAAGTTAGTTTCTGATTTTAATGCATAAATAACAAGCATCAAGATCATATTTACCAGATATAAGGGGTTCAATGAGAACATTTTATTCTGCTTTTCTTCCTTTAATCTGCACGTACTGGAGCAAAGGCATTTGTTGGATGGTCATCAAATTTTCATCAGGGAAAACAAATTGAGGTTACTTGAACACAACATTTTGCAATTTCACTACATGGTGAAAGTGAACCTATTACAGATTTGTTTGTTTACGAATGGCACAGATCACATATGTATTATGAGCATGTAAGTGCATGAATATTTTCACATTTACACTCAACTCCACTTTAGCATCACTGAAAATCCCCCCCACTCACATATCACAAATTTCACAACACCCCTCATCACACACTGTATCATCAGAGCAGATGTGCCAGTCTGACCTTTAATATTACACTGTAGCGTGATCATCTGGTGGTGATGTCCGACATGAAGTAACGATGCAGCACTCCATGATCCGTCCTTTCTTTTTGAACTCTGACAGTTCAACTTCCCTGTGGTCCCCCCCAGATGTAGCTGGTGACTTGGACTCACAAACCATCGAGGTGTTGGCCAGCTGGATGCTCGAGCACCCCCTGACTGAGGAGCAGCTGGCGGGCGAGCCACCGAGAGCTGAGGGTGCTCCTGAGACCCCGTCCTCGGATGGGCCAGAGACGGTGCAGTGTCCCGAGCGCCCCACCAGTCAGCCCACTGAAAGGTCACAGATTTCAGAATCATATATGACATTTTGCAGTTGGTACTGTTTTAATTGTAAGAATACAATCAGTTTGCTCATGGGCTGCTTGTTGTTTTGTTTATAGCCTGTTGCCAGGGCTGGACTGGATAGAGAGGGAGAGCTTCTTGGACGTCCACCTGACCAGAAACAGACCTCCTCCAGCACGGCGGCGTCGTTCAGGCTCAACTCAGAGGACGTCATTTCGAAGGGCGGGTCAGAAAAACAACTTTGTAAATTGTAAAAAGGACAAAACATATTCCTGTTTCTATTACCTGACTGAAATATAATGATTAAAGACTGAAACAAACAAACACATCTTTTCAGACTTGCCATCACCAAACACCCTCCCGCAGCTGTACCAACAACACACAGCGGTGGGCGAATGGCCAGAGGTGGAGTTTCATCCGTACTGTGCTGAGGACGAGACAGAGTTGGGCTACATGGATGATCCATACCATGAGGAAACTTATGAGGATCTGCTCACCTTCAGTTTGGAGAGAGACACACTCCAGATAGTGGAGGTGACAAACAAATTATATCACTATCACTAAGGCTTCAAGACATGGACAAAACACATTTTGATTACTTTAATTAAAATATGTCATGATTTGAAATATAAAAGGACAAACGCTGTGGTCAAACATTCAGATTAACCTGTAACCAACATCACATCAGGAATTTTGTTTCATTTCCCTTCATGAGCACTCAGTAGTATCTTGTATTAATTCCTACAGACTGCACTGTACATAAGAGCTACTTTTAGACTTAATATGTTTATGTCTAAGCTTCACTTACACTATTACACTATATCATCCATTTTACCGTATAACCCTCATTTTAGGCCGGAGAAGAACACAGCCAGATGGTGAAGTGCGAGTTGTGCAACACCCTAACCTTGCAGTTCAACAATCACATAAAGCGACGTCACCCAGGTTGTGGGCAGAGTGCTGCACGAAAGGGCTACGACAGCACCGGGGCCTACGTGGACGTGTGGTTCAAAGGGGAGTGTGGCTCAAACTTTCCATTCTACCTCCTGTGCAGCTCCTGCAGGGAAAAGTATCTGGCTGCAAACCTGAGCGACACAGCTTCTAAATATGAAAGGTGAAGCAGATATATGTGAAATTATGTTTGCAGGAAATGTATGCATGCACTACAAATTGCATAGAGACCTATGTGGTTCAGCTTCCAGTTTTTAATTTAAATGTGGCCTCATAGGGCTAATGTTGGGCCTTGGCAGAGGGTTGTGCCTACTTTGTTAATGGTTTGGCCCTCCTTTTGCTTTTAGGATTAAAGGTCTGACATCTGATCTGATCGGCCAGCTAGACAGCACTTCTGATGGTAAGAAATTTTGTCAATCATTTGGTTTTCATTTAATGCATTTGTTTATAATTTTAATTGAACCTCTGTTTGCTCAGATGATTGGGAAATGAGCCACCAAGACGAGTGTGACACAGAAAAGCTGACTGGACTGGAGGACTTTGGGCTCCTGCTGAGACCCCTGGGGCTGACTGAGAAGAAGCTGGTGCCTGATGCCATTGCCTTCACTGAACCAGATCCACTTGGAGCTCGGGTTTACAGCTCTGCTGACCCAGCAAGAGCAGGAGCTCCCAAAGGTACGGAGGGCAGAGTCCTACACGGGTCCATTTTTACAAACCTGCACCTCCTTGATCCTGCAAAGCTCCGTCAAATACGGATCTACCCAGACCCGCTGATATATGATACGATTACGATATGAACAGATGTGGAAGTGAATAACAAGGAAAAGAAGTTGTAATGCAAATCTGTATATTAAGGAGCTGACACATCCTGGGTAAATTAAAGGGAAGGGGATTTTCTGCAGATACTGTATATTATGACTCCCAACAGAGTGACATAAAACCAAGCTACCATGACTATGATAAAACTTCCTACACATCTCTGAATATTAAATTGCTGATCACATCTCTTATGAACGATTAAGACTACTTGTTGTAACACATGCCCACATTCCCTCTGTTGTTGTTGGCAGCATCCATCCACAGTCAAATTTACTGCATCATGGTGACTCATCAATCATTTATCATAGCAGACGCACATACTCCAATTTGTCCCAGTGATAAAGTGAGTTTTGTTTCTTCTGAGTCTTTTCATACTGTCAGCGAGCTTTAAAATGCAAGTTTAACAAGTTGATTAGGGATTTGTCCTGTAATTAATTAACTGTGGTTTGACGTGTGTTTGTTGTCCTCACCAGGGAATGCCCTTGTTGAGCAGAAGACCTCTCTGAGCCTTGGACAGCAGGCAGTGTCACTGAGGGACTCTCACGATCGACTGAAAGCTCTGAGAAGAGTCACCTCCACAGCCCAGATTCTGCTCGCTTACAGCATGGTGATGAGAGCTCTGTCTCAGACCGCCTCTAGGTACAGTGTGTTTGAACAGAATGTGGCCTTGTTTACATATTTTTCACCACGTGATCATTGTGGTTTCAAGATTCCTCTTTTATCTCCTTCTCCAGTGCGTCAGTGTGCAGCCAGTCCAATGGATTAGAGTCCTTGGGTCTGGCAGATATTCGCATTCTGGTGCGTTTGATGACTCTGGCAGCGGGGGGCAGGGCTCACACCTGTGTGGGCAGACAGTCAGGTGTGAAGGGATCAGAACGCAACAACTCCACCTGCCTCAGCTTCCTAACCTCAGCCATCGGCAGCGTGGTGTCCCATAGCTCTACTGCATACAGACAGCTAGTGGAGATATGCACTCAGGTCAGTTATTGATAAATACTGTGTATGACCTGGATATTGTGGGTGGAAATCCTTTTATGCCTTTGTAATTTTGTTTTTTTGTGTTTATCTAATTGAAAGAAAAAGAATATCAAAAACAAATATATTGATATATAAAATACAAAAATATTAATAATAATGAATTAAAAACTGGCAATTTATCAGATGAAGTTAAAACAACAAAGCATCAGAAATTATAAATGATTCAATTACTATATATTGGATTTATCCTTGCATCAAGGGATAGTTTAATCGTGAATATATATCAACTTTGTAAAAGCAAGGAAATTAATGTAAATACTCAAATGTGAATAAATGTAATTCTACTTATACTTAACTAATGTTGCTGCTAGTTTGTGTTCTTTATTAATTTTTGAGTTCATTTATGTGAATTTCCCTTAGAGGGATTAATACATTTGTCTGAATATGAATATGTTTGTCTGTAGAACCTAATGGCCGCAGCTACAGGGGTGAACATTGGGGCCATTGGTGATCCACAGCAGAGAGGTTGTCTGAACTCCAGTCTAACAGCTGCAGCACACGGAGCCCAGATGCAGAAAGACTACAACGACCAGACGCCCCCCACTTTCCTGGTCACCCAGAGTCTGGTGTCCCTGCTGACTGAGAAGGGCGTTCACTGCTACGGCCCAGACAGGACTGAACATGAGACCAATGGTGATGTTTATGAAGTAGCTGTGTTGTTATGTTTGATAAATATTTATTAGTGTCTGAATATTGTGATGTTGTTATTCATTGTAGCACTCCTCTGTTTAACCTAGATGCAGGGAACCACGGGGTGTCTTCTACGTCCTTGCCTCCTTCCCCTTTACCCCATGTGAGTGCCAGAGTGGGCCCTCTGGAGCTGGCAAATGCATTGGCAGCATGCGTTCTGTCTGCCAGGCTCACCAGTCAACACCGCCAGTGGGCAACGCAGCAGCTGGTGCAATTGCTGGCCTCCACAGGAAGGGACATCCCTAATCGTCCCCAAACATACAGCGACCTGGCCGGTGACTTGCGCAAATGTCCCCTCAAGAGGCTGGAAGGACATTACAACAAGGTGAGGGACTCTGTGTTGGTCAGTTCGGTACAAATTGTTTCAACAAACCTCATTAAAACAGAGCGGAAAATAACAGCTTTATGTTTCTGTTGACTCCGGTCATGGCTTTCGAAGACTGATGCATTATGTTTTAGGGTTTTCTGTTCATCTTGTAAACATGAAATCTGACTTGAGGGAGATAGAGAGATAGATAGAGCAGTCTCTCCTCCCTCAGGATAACAGCATGGTCGTTGTTTTTAATTATAGCCAGGGCTTTACATTTTCTATTGAAGTAATGTGTATGATCAAGTAAAAAAAATGGATTTAGACTTGAGAAATATTAAGAAATCCAACAACACCGTCATTACTGTGCACAGCAGTAGAGGTTTACAAAACATCAACAAAGAGAGAGATGATTGTAGTGATACAGGCCGTTTCCCCTCTAATCTAGTGAAGGTAGTAAAAGTATGTCTGCATTATCTCTTTTTGTTGCAGGTGGCCAGCTGCTCCTGGAGCAGTGAGCAGAGTTTGCTGGCTACATGCTCCCAAGACAAGGTGGTGCAGTTATGGAGCATCAGCCACAACACAGCAGAGTTACAGACCACCTTCTCCTGTATTACCAGGTATAACCTCCCTGATCCCTTATTGTTTATCTATCCTCTAACTCCCCAAACCTTTTTATTTGTAGGCAAAATATTTAAATAAGAAAGTCTTATATGCTTAAACTGAGAGACATCGATTTTAGCCTCTATTAAATTGTATTATTATTATTGTTTTTCTGCAGTAAGACAGACAGATCAAACAGTGAGACGCCTGGTAGATGTCATCACATGTCTCCTGTCTACTGGAGCACAGGAGGAAACTTCTTGGCTTCACTGGAAAACAAACAGATCAACATCATGACCATCAGGGGTCGGTTTATTCCTTCAATTAATTAGTATTCTATAAAAGTTTAAATTTAGACAGGCTTGTTATAATTGTGAAAACCTCATTGTTACCAAACTGAAATCTAACATAAGTCATGTTTCAAAACCTTAAAAACCCTTTTAAATAAGAATTTGTCATAAATCATTTTTCCACATGCACCCTACATAATTCATAATATTTTAAACCCTAGTTGCTGCAACCTGAATATTTCCTTTCGCTGTGCAGGCTCTCACTGTCACGTGGAGGCTCAAGTGTCCCGGGTCACAGCCCTTTGCTGGGCTCAGACCTTCAGCCTGTGGGTTCTTGAGCTGCCAGCGGGTGGTAAGAATAGACCTGCTGAAAGCCTGTTGTTGGGTCGGCTGGACGGGTCCCTCTGCTGGATCCAGGTCACGATGCAGGAAATAGAGCTGCAAGTGAAGAGCACTGAACTCACCCACTGCCACAGGAAGGAGGGTGAGGAAGCTGCTATAAACACTGTTATTACACACTATTACATACTTATTCAAATAGAATAGAACAATCGTGAACATAATCACATCACATGCACAAATATAAAGGGAAACATTACATTATAAGAGATTCAGAAAATATTTAAAATTGATTATGAACATATTGTTAAATGTGAAACAGTTTTCTCATTGAATTAAAATGTTTAAATATTGCTTTGAGGAGATGTGTTTGAATGGACACATCTGTGCTCACAAAATTTTGGTTTTGGACAGTGCCATGATAGCTGTTTCCCCTTGGTTCCAGCCTTTATGCTAAGTTAAGCCAATCAACTCTTGGCTCTAACCTTCATGTTTAGAATATATACCTGGGTGTGGTATCAATCTTGTGATCTGGTCTTGTAAAAGCAAACGTGCGTTTCTAAATGATATGAAACCATTAATGTAAAAGATTCCTCTCATTGCTTGTAGCTCCTCAATGTGTGGCCTGGCACAGTGAGGACAAACCATTTGCAGTGGGATATCCCAATGGAAAGATCCTTCTGGCCACGACTGAGACCTATGAGAATGAGCAGCCAGCAGTTCTGTCTGTCTTTCAGGTTTGTCTACAAGATTTAGTCTGGACTCATTTTAACTCTACTATGCTGAAGAGCGCTTCAAAAGAGACAAATAACTGCACCTTCTTCACACCCAACTGCATCTGTCACTCTGTTGTCTGAATAGAATAATTTGTTCTTACTGATCCTCTCCTCTTCCCCTCAATCTGCAGGACAGTGTGACTTCTCTAAAATGGGACCCCACGGGACACTTGCTGCTCTGTTTGGGCAGGTCGGAGGCGACAAAGATACTGGGACGCTCTGGTGGAACCTGGGTAACCCTGCACTCCCTCATTCACAGCAGTACCGTAAACATCGCAGAGTGGTGCCCACTCGCTGGCAGAGCACCTGAACCCAGGCTCATGATGGCTGCGTGAGTTTAAATCAAACTTTCTTCATAATCAGTCTCTGATTATTCTGCCCATTGTTTTAGACTATCACCAAAAAATCCAAAAACAAAAAACAATTGCCGTCTTCTAAAATCAGTTTTAGAGAAAGATGTACAAAGAATTAGTGAGAATCTGACTATATCGAATAATAGTTGCATGAAGGATTGTTAATTTTTTATGTGTGATCATTGTTGTCAATCCTGTTTTTATCTCCATCCTTCTACAGAGGTTGTCAGAATGGATCTGTGTATGTCTGGACACTGCCACAGGGGGGCACTGTTGTGTCTTTGTACAACCTACTGAAAAACTCTCAAAGCCAAGAAAAAGACCATGATGTCAAGGTTAGTTTATGGGGCTCCTTTTACTGACCTAGTTCTACCAATATTATTAAATGAGGAAAATGTTATCAAGATTTAATGCACCATCCATCAGCCATGTTATTCATAGTTTTATTTAAGCTCATTAAATCACTCAATTCTGTTCCTTTTTCCTGCAGGACAGTGCAAAGTGTGTGTTTGTTCTTCAAGGACACATAACAGCAGTGAAGTCCCTCTCATTTTGCTCCAGTGGACTGACTCTGGTTTCTGGGGGGATCGGGGGGTTGCTTAACATCTGGTCCTTACAGGTCAGAAAACCAATTTCTTAGCTGAAGTCAGCACTAATCAACTTTTTAAGAATCTAAAATAAACATTTCACAAGTCTTATTTCAGGATTTCCACTGTGTCTCTTTCAGGATGGTTCAATTTTACAAACTGTAACAGGATTGGGTTCAGTTGTTAGTACGACCTGGATACCAAGCTTGGGTATCGCTGCCTGCTTTGGGAGATCAAAGGTAATTTGGATCACTCCAAACTTATTGGAATAGTTCAACACACTTGTTTTACAGATATATACATAAGAAGATTGATTCCATTCTCATATCTGTCCATTTATGTGATTTACAGCTCGAAGTGGGTAATTTATTCTTTAATCAGTCATCTATAGAGCTCAAGACATTTGTATTTGGATAGACCAAGGTTAACTCTTCCCCCCTGTTTCTGTCTAAATGAACTATGACCTTGAAGTAGCCAAAATCTCAGTTTTCTTCATGCTCCCTGATAATAAAGTTTTGTTTCTATAACTCAGGCTTTTACGTATTAGTCCGTTACTGAAACACTATTGAAAAAAAATGCCCAGTTGTTTTCTCTTTCCTGTTTCATTCCTAGGACGTTTTGTTGATCTGCTGCACCCCCGAATGGATGAGTCAGAATCACGTGCTACCTTCCTGTCGTATGGTTCTCAGAAGCCAGAACATCCTGGGTCTAAATCGGGCGCCTTGTTTGGCTGTGTTTCTGGAGAGGCTGCCGTTGCTGTTACAGGAGCAGTACAACCATGAGCGGGTCATTAATTAAACTTAATTTTCTGCTGATTATCCCTATCAGCAATGTTTGTGTCCATGTGAGCGTCCCCTCTGTCTAATTTCATCTTCCTTCCATCACTACAGACCCACGTGGCAGCAGGTGACCAGCTCGTCCACAGTGCCTTCCTGCAGAGCCTGGCCTCCATGGCTGTCGGTTTGTCCTTGGAGAAACACCTGTGCCGCCTCCCATGCCCTCCACACCACAGCAGCACTAACGCCAACTCCTGCCCCTCAGAGTGGAGCTGGCTCGCCACCTACGCCACCACTGTCCGCAGTGCCGAGGCTATCGCTAGCGGTACCGCTTTCCCAGAATCCTTCATTGTTTCAGAATTCCAGGAGGAGGAAGTCGGTGAAATTATTACTGCGCTGGTGAGTAGAGACAGACCTCTTTCTGCTACTGCTTTACTAGTGTGGACACCTATTGAGACACTTTTCTGTCTTTCAGGACAACAGCAAGTGGAGCTTCAGGATGGATGAACAGCTGATGTCTTGGGCAACCACCAGACCAGAGGTAACAGCTTAGTCATGTTTACAATTGTAATATATATATATATATATATCTATATATATCTAGCTATAACTTGACAAATGACAAAGGGAAAACACTCTACTAGCCAGTAGTAGAGTTTTTTTCCTTTTCCACTTGCTTTGGTTTGCATTCGTCCCTCATAACGGACGATAATTCATTGCCATTGGCTGCATATTGTGAACAAAACTTTAAATACATAACCTCATCCATCAACATCATTCTCCTCTGCATCAAGTACATTTTTATTGGCAATGATGGAGAAGACAACAACTCCCATAGTCCCATGCTGCTTCATGACGTTTTATACCCTCTTGTCTTGTAAAACACCTTGTTCAGCAACAGAGAAAACATACATATAGCTCTTTTTAATAGTTGCTTAATGAACTAGTATTTTCTTTTAGTTACAGCTGTATTTTAATTTCCATTCCACCTGCTGTTTCTCTTAGGACTGGCAACAAGGAGGAAAGAGTGAGGTATACCTGTGGGGGAACGGGCGTTACGGACAGTTGGCAGGGATGGGAAACAACCTCATGATGCCAACTCTTGCACCGACTCTGTCACAGACACAACAGGTAACAACTTTTTCTCTCAGGACACAGACTTTGTCCTTCATTGCTGTGTTTTTTTTATAACATTTCTTTCTCCTTTTGTGTCCGCTTTTCACTGTCATCCAGGTTGTGTGTGGTCAGAACTGTACCTTCCTTTTACAGTCCAATGGGACTGTGTTAGCTGTCGGGGAAGGACAATATGGCAGACTGGGCCAGGGGAATTCTGATGATCTCTATGTCCCCACTATTATATTTGCTTTTCAAGGTACACTATTCATCAAGAGTCATATAATCCAAATCTGAGCTGATCTGCTTTTAGATCTTCATATTCCATTTTATTGACAGGACAAAAAAACATTTTAGTTTCAGTTACATTTGGTAGCATCCATTAATTATGATCTTTAGTTAATCTTTACTGACTTATTGTTTTGTGGACAGGGTATGTGGTAACACAGCTGGCAACGTCTTGTGGGTCCGATGGACACTCCATGGCCCTGACTGAGACCGGGGAGGTGTTCAGTTGGGGAGATGGAGATTTCGGCAAACTGGGGCACGGCAACAGCGAAAGGCAGAGGAGACCCAAACAGATAGAGGCTTTACAAGGAGAAGAGGTCGTTCAGGTAGAGCTACTGGATATTTTTGTGTTTTTATACTACAGTGTTAGAAGCATCAAGGAGGTTATTAGAAGTGAAATAATCATTTTTTTCTTTCTCTCTCTAGCTTGCTTGTGGGTTCCGGCACTCTGCTGTGGTAACAGCAGATGGGAAACTGTTCACCTTTGGCAGCGGTGAATCTGGCCGTCTGGGTCAAAGGTCAACATCCAACAAAATGCTGCCTGAACGAGTGGCAGCGCTAGAGGGATATCACGTGGGGCAGGTAAAAAATAGATCAGCATGTTTTTTATTATTAAACAAATGATTTTTTTATATTGTTGTTTCCACAGTGAAAAATAGAAGTAAAAAAAGTCACACTTTTATTAAACTAATTTAAGTTGGTGACGTTCCTCAGGTGTCATGTGGTCTCAACCACACTCTGGTGCTGTCCCAAGATGGTATGGTTGTGTGGGCATTTGGAGATGGAGACTACGGCAAATTAGGTACCGGTTCTTCTACAGCGAAATACTACCCACAGGTAAGTTAATGGTGACTAAGACTCAAACACAGGGTCCTCAAAAAACAAAGCACATTGTTCATGTAACCTGGTTACTTCCCTGGAGATTGTAGTGAGAATTACACATTCTTATTGATTTCTTTTTTCATATCCATTGCTTTAACAGTTTATTTTAATGCAGTGCTTGTCCTCATGCATTTACAGGTGACTCTATAGTGCGTTGTAGATGAAATACTATGTCTGGTTGTTCCTATTTTCAGAAAGTGGAGCAGCTGTGCAACAAGGGAATTAAGAAGGTCTCTTGTGGAACTCAGTTTTCTGTGGCGTTGGCCTGTGACGGACATGTTTACACCTTTGGACAAGGTACAGCTCCATGTGTAACTGGAATTGAAGAATGTTTGAGAGTTTTCATGAATAAAAAGAGGAAAATAAAGCATTTACTTTTTGAAATACCTCCAATTTAATATAATTGTTAAAAACCCCACAATTTAAATTGTAAATTATTTGATTAGAAACTACTAAATTCATTATTTACTTCTAAAATGATTTGTATATTCTTGTTATAGTAAAGTAAGTCAATAATAAGTCAACAAATTTGAGTATTTTAGTCTTTGAGTTGTGGCTAATGTCATAGCATGCAACATTTCATGAAGTATACTTCACTAGGATGTGATTTATGGACATGCAGTTAATGTTACTTGGCTTCTTCCTGTTTGTTCTTCAGAGCGTCTGATCGGTCTGCCGGACTCCATGCTGAAGAACAAATCCTGCCCTCAGGTGGTGCCGTCACTGGAGGGGCTCTTCATAGAAGACATTGCTGTGGGATGTGAACATGTCCTCGCTCTGTCTTCCACTGGAGACGTCTACGCCTGGGGCTGCAACAGTGAGGGACAGGTAACCGACACAATCAGATATAAATGAATACACTTGATTTCATTGCACAACACAAGCTCTCTACAGACTGCACTGTTGTCTTTTGTGTTTGCCTTCCAGCTTGGTCTTGGACACTCCAACCTATTGAAAGAGCCCACATTCATAACAGCCCTGCAAGGGAAGAACATAAGACAGATCTCTGCTGGCCGCTGCCACAGCTCAGCATGGACCACCCCCTCTACCTCGATGAAAAACTCAGGTACAGACCTGCATTATCTGAAAACAAGTATTTGAACTAATGAGCCCTGGGAGAGGATGCACATGGAACTTATTTTTACTTAATCTCCAGGTGGCTCTGGAAATTTCCAGCTTGGCCTTCCCCAGTCAGTCCCTCCTCAGTACAACACCCTGAAAGACTGCAGCCCTGATGTCCTTAGCATGCGTCTCAGGGTCCTCTACCACTTTTCTGATCTTATGTACAAGTCCTGGAGGCTGCTCAACCTGGACTCCAAAAATCCGGTAACAATTTATTCTATCTTCTGCCTTTTTAATGCATTAAAAGAACAAAGGAAAAAAAACAAACATCAAATTCTTGCTGGTCGTAAAATACCTCCTGCTTGTTAGTCTTGTTTCCTCCACACTGTCATTCTGTCAGTGTGGCGCCTCATTTACCTCGTCTCATTTTATCACCTGTCCTTGCCTCTCTTCAGGTGTCCACTTCACGCTACAGTTCAGGGACGACAGCTATCATTCGGGGCGAGCTCCGAGGTCTCCTGTCACCCAAGGTCAACACTCTGCCTCTCGTGCGCTGCATCGGCAGAACAATGACCCAGGGCAAAACGTATGGGCCACAGATCACTGTGAAACGGATTTCCACAAGGTAAAGGTGACCATTATAATCAGCCGGTTGACCCCTGAAGACACACAGCTGTCTGTATGGTGGAAAAACAGCTGATGGAAAGGAAGGAGGGGGGGCATAACAACCTGCTGTATTTCCAGCTGGCCGCAGCTGTTGTTAAGCCCCTTTTTCACTGGTCAAAAAACCCACTAGCACCCACGTACAGCTGGCTTTTATCTGAAAAGTGAATGCATACAATCAGCAAACGTGACACCCGGGTGAACGCACTCATTTGTCATTTCAAAACCAGCTAATTTCAGTGTAAAAGAGGTATTACTGAAATTTGAAGACATCTATCTGTCTCATTTGATGTTTTGCTCTCAAGATTTCTTTAAAGCACCCTTTGAATGCAGCCATGTTTTTACATCTGTTAGTAATTGAAGATTGATGTCCCTTCTCTTACGCTCGACTTCACAGAGGTCGCTCCAGTAAGCCCATCTTTGTGCAGATCGCTAAGCAGGTTGTGAGCTTGAACCCTCTGGAGCTTCGGCTGCCGTCACGAGCCTGGAAGGTCAAGCTCATTGGAGAGGGAGCCGATGATGCCGGAGGAGTGTTTGACGACACCATCACTGAGATGTGCCAGGTAGGATGGAAACACACATAGAGAGTATACTGTAACGCAGTGTGTATATTCTAGTTTATGTACAAAGTGTTGATGATGTTGTCACCAGGAGTTGCAGTCTGGTGTGGTGGATCTCCTGATTCATACTCCCAACAGCTTTGCAGATGTGGGCAGTAACACTGACAGGTGCCTATTGTGTTTCTTCCTTTGATAAGCACCAATCAGAACTACACCCTTAAAGTACAACCTGATAATCTTAACATGTGTGTGTCCCTACAGGTTCCTGTTGAATCCAGCAGCACTATCAGAGGATCACATCGTCCAGTTTCGCTTTCTGGGAATCCTCATGGCTGTGGCCATTCGCACCAAGAAGCCTCTGGACTTGCATCTGGCCCCATTGGTGTGGAAACAGCTCTGCTCAATGCCACTGGGAGGGCCTGACCTTGAGGATGTCGACCTGCTCACCTACCGCACCCTCCAAGGCATCCTTCATCTAGAAAACAGTGGAATCACAGAGGATAATTTCCATGTGGTGAGATATTAAGCAATATGATTTATTGAGTTTATTACCATTCCTGTATATCTTCAAAGACGAAAGACACTTAAGTGACATTATAATCTCTTATTTGTTTGTATCATTCCTTCCATCCTGCATCGTCTCCTGTCTGAAGATGATCCCGCTGGACTCGTTCGTGGCCCACAGTGCTGATGGAAGGCTGGTACCTGTGGTTCCTGGGGGTCAAAACATATCCCTCACCTTTGCCAACCGGACTGAATATGTGGAGAGAGCTCTGGACTACAGAGTGCATGAGATGGATTCACAGGTTTGAAGGGCTGAAGTGTTGAAGAATGATTTGGGTTTATTTAGCAGAGCTGGTAGAAATATCAGTTTATATTCTGCATGTAAATGTTTATATTCTGCATATTTACACATGAGGGAATACTGATATCTTTAGTATACACATAAGTTATGTACTAAGTCTACACCATGTGTCAGTTGCTCTCCGTTCACGCCGCCCTGCGTAAACCTTTGTGGTTTGCTTTGACTCTCAAGGTCAAAAGCAGCAGTAAAAAAAACTGACCAGTAGCAAATCATTGAGCCAGCCTATTGATGTGCAGTATGTTTCCCTGCCAATGCACCTACAGTTTGTTTACACTGATGAAACTAACAAGGCTGAGGCGTCTGAATCCAGTGTAACTGGGACATTCACTTGTTTGCTTAAAATGCAGAAAACAAAATTATAATCATCCTCTTTTCACTGGGATGAAGAGCTTGATGATATTTAATTGACAAATACATCTGTCAGTCAAAATAAAATCAATCTGAGAGAATTTTGATAATAAATTCATCGTTTAAGTCATTTTTAAGTAAAAAGTCTTAATATTTAATACTAAAATATGAACCGACAGTATGAAATATGAATATCTTTTTTTATTGTAGATCGGGTTCTGAGGAAATATGTTGGTTATTTTTATATTTTTATAAATTTTTATTTATATTTATTATTTATTTTTTATATATATTTTTTGATAAATTATTAAAGGATACATATGCTTTTTCAGTTTTCTTCCCTTTAGCATGTTCTGCAGTTAAAAAGGCCACAGTAAAGGGAGCTCGCCAACAGACAACACTGATCCTGAAGCTCATGAAACGCCTCTTCAGGAGTCACAATGCCTCACATTTGCATATGTCTGGCCTAGCAGCTAGTCTGGCTCTAACACCTCGAACAAAGCCAGGTATAGTAAAGAGCGGAGGCCGACCTTAACTACATGAGCTGGAGGTGGTTGACCAATCACAACAAAGCTGGCCAATCAGAGCAGACTGCGATTTGTCATGAAGGGGGGCTAAAAGAGCAAGGATCTAAAACCAAGTGTTTCAGACAGACACGATGTCCACACAGGCTGTATAATAATACAGATACGGTACAACACACATGGTGTGTATTTCTCTTCCATTTTGAACATTCACTCTGCCACCAGTTTCCATTAGCGCTCACTACACAGTTGCTCCTGTTTGTTGTCTGTGTTGTTGCTGCTTTCATCTCGGTGGATGAAGAATCAAAGCTGACGCCGTTCTGTTGTGTGCAGGTGGCCGCTGTCAGAGAGGGCATGTCCACCATCATCCCGGTGCCCCTCCTCTCCCTCCTCACGGCGCTGCAGCTGGAACAGCTGGTCTGCGGCCTGCCGGAGGTCTCTGTTGAGATGCTGAAGAAGCTGGTGCGCTACCGTGACATCACCGACAGCCACCAGCTCATTGGCTGGTTTTGGCAGAGCTTGGAGGAGTTCACCAACGAGGAGAGGGTGCTGTTCCTGCGCTTCGTCTCTGGCAGGTCCAGGTTGCCGTCCAACCCGGCCGATATCGCGCAGAAGTTCCAAATCATCAAGGTTGACAGGGTAAGGTCACTGCTAAAGAGGGTAACAAGCCTCTTTATTTGAATGAATACTAAAAAAAATTCCTCCTTATCATCTCATCCAGCCCGTCAACGGCCTCCCTACGGCTCAGACCTGCTTCTTCCTGCTCCGCCTGCCCCCGTACACCAGTCAGGCCATTCTCGCCGAGCGGCTGCGTTACTCCATCCACAACTGCCCCTCCATCGACATGGACAACTACATGCTGACCCACAACACCGACCCAGTGGACAGCTCCGACACCGAGGACTGAGGCAGACAGCTGCGGCTCACAGGGTGATGAATGTATCTTCTCTCCGATGCCATGCACATTATGCACTGAACACAGAGTTTTATTGGCCAAACCTGTACGGTAGTGTACTGTTTATATGTCCGTTGGTTTCAAGACGTGTGTAGTTTTGATTTTACGACTGTGAAAGATGTAATTATCGCAGAGCTTACTCTGAATCAAAACGACAGGGATCCGGAGTAAGATTTCAAATAAATATAGGCGACTAAGCCACAATAAAGAGTTAATGTGCCTGTTTGTTTGAAAATATGTAATAATTTAATGAGCTGCCATACATAGGCAGTGTTATTGTAAAATAAAGAGTGTTTAAATAAGGATGTTGTTGTACTGTGGTCAAAATTTCTGCAGTAGTTACTGCCTCCGCCAAGAGAGTTATGTGTTCGCCCGTCTGTTTGTATCTGGTTTGGTTTGAAAGCAAGATTAAGCTAAAACTACTGAACAGATTGCTGCAAAACTTGGAAGTTTGTCAGGATGCAGCATTGGTCAGGTCAATACAATATGATGCAGTTTATTGTTCCAGTGTTTCTCCAGCGTTAAAGCCCAAGACATTTAATAGTTGTGGTCAAATAAGCCACAATCAAATTTAATGTTAGAGGAATAATTTATTGGTATCTTTACTGATTTGATCAGTCAAAAACAAATCTGCCTTACCTGGAGAGTGCCTGGCAACAGGAGCCAACTGATGCTACTAAATCCTGATTGGTGCATGGAAGTACATGGCACCAGAGCCACAACCAGTTTCAAACCAGCGATAAGAGCACAGATGAATGAACACAAATAGAGAAGTAAATCATGTGGAAAAAATAATATAGTTTGTATTAAGAAGCTGATTGAGAAAAAAAGGTTTTCTGGGCCTTCTGGGCTTTTTATGACATTTCTATGTATGGCTACGCTCCACATATTAAAGCCAAACAACACACACAAATCAACAGCTGTCCTTATTACAAAGCCAGGATCTTAATGCAGCTCCCCTGAGTCCAGTGTTGTCCTGAGTCAGCAGCGCTGTTGAGTCTGCAATTTGTCTGTGCCAGTGAGAGGTGCGTCTGCTGTGACCTTATTACCCATCTGTTTTCCCCGTGTGCGGTGGCGTCGGCCAATAAGAGCTCAATTCGACCTGCAGTCAGCAGCCCTGCAGCTGAGAGAGGGAGACTTCTGCATGTAGAGACCTCGCCAGGTATATAAATATAACATCCATCCATCAGTTTGACAAGAGCACACATTCAGAAAGGAGGCAAAGATTAACCAAAAAAAAACATTGCTTCTGATATTAGTTGCAGTTTTATTATCATTACTACTACTACAATTTTTATTATTATTTTTAAATCTACTTTAGGTTTCTTTGCAAAAAAGAATATATAATAATATTAACCTGAAAAGAACCCACGCCTCCACTTCCTCTTCTTAGTCCTCAGAACTGTATACATACAGGGGCGGATCCAGGGGGGGCACTGATTGGCCCCTGTCCTGTCAGCTGCCTTTAATTTTTAATAACATTGAATTTTAATAACAATATAAACAATAAATAGGAATGTTTATATGCAATAATGTGTGGCTTTGCACAAAGCTAGAGGGCTAACAGTAAATAGGAATAATTTCAATGGGCACCTTACTGAATCAAGGATTGTGTACGGATGTTGACCATATAATTGTGGCTTCATTATTGCCCCTGGTCCAGAGAAATCCTAGATACGCCATTGTGTGGATGGAATGAGTTTGAAAGATAGCACAGAAGCATAATATGGTTTGAACAACAGGAAAAAAATTGCAGCTTATTTTGAAACAGAACTCCTTGGTGCACCTGAATCAACGCATTTCCTGTCTGAAGTTTCCAAATCATCTTAGAGGATTTTCTCTAAATCAGAAAAGAAACCTCTTCAACACTCATAAAGTCTTAAAATGTATATTTTATTAAGAGGTATGTAATAGTCCTGCAGATGTAAAACCTTAAGCTTTAGTTTTCTTTATCCAATTGCAAGCAGACCCTGTTATGAATATGTAATACTTCCTATTCCCTGAGGAGGGCAGCATGGTCGCTGGGCATGGACGTTCCACCACACAACAAGTTCAAGAGAGCATCATCAACACACACACACACACACACACGCACACACACACACACACACACACACACACACACACACAGATCCTATATGGTTGACAGTGCATTTCACTGTCAGCTAATCTCCGTTCCCCTGTTTCTCCCGATCAGCTCATTTGATCTGTACAAATAGACGACAACACACAGTTTGCTGTCACATTACTCCAATAACACACCTTTAACACTGACGCATGAATCTCTCTGTGTCGAGTCGATGCCAAAATAAGTGCAGCTGGTCTCAGTTTGCACCATGAAATAATTTCTGCTGCTCGCGTGTTGCTACTCTAACTAGGCCACCTATGTTTGTTTCAGCCAAGGTGCAATTCACAAGAAAAACTCTTTGCTCCATTTTACAGGGACGCATGGGTTTCTCCTCATTTCAACAACTTTTTCATCCATTGCAAATCTCAGAAATTAAACTGGGAAGCTGAGCAAACAGGACTTCTGGACAATCGATGACCTGCATCATGCTGAGCCCTCTCTGAGAAATGACATGTTTGTTATTAAGTGAGCCACATGAATTAAAGCAGCCCTGTGGATACATCATTATTTAACACACTGCATGGGAGCTGAACTGCTGTGGTAGCTGTGCAGCATGCATTCATTCACAGCTCTGCCCAGACTGACTGTACTTTCGCATGCACAGTGAATCTAATTAAGGAGCATGCAATTCACGAATCTCTGTTAATCCACTCTGCATCCACCACAGTGTCATCAACAGGCATTTCTTTGCATAGCACGTTTTCAACAACTTTGGCTGGAAATGGTTCTTCCCTGACTCATAACACATCCTTCCACCAAGCGCCATAATCCGTCTCGTAGTTTCATTGTACTCCTGCTTAATATCAAACAAATGCACATAGAAGCACAACCTCCTTGGCAGAGGAATGAAATCCTTCAACAATTATACATCAAATTTAAGATTAAACAATAAAAAAATGTATTACCTTCAAATGCATGTTAAAAAAGAGCTAAAAGGTGACTGTGATTTTGGGAACATCACCTGCAGTGTGACCACAAAAAGACCAGAACTGCACCAAAAGGTTTAAAATCATAGCTTCAACTTTCTAGAGGCCAATATTTTAGATTTTATTCTTATTCCTGGTCAAATATTTTCATGCCACCAGAGAATGAGGCAGGTCTCTCCATGCTGAATGTTTAATTAGTCAAAGGAGGGTTTGACCTACATTGTCTCACCATGGTAAAACAGGGAATGGGAATGGTCACCTGATCCCCCCCCCCTTCTAAAATCAGAGAGGCTCATTTCATCTCGACGTTGAGTGGACGAGGGCTGCTGTGAAAACAAGGGCACTTGGGCATGGGTCAGTGAACCGCTGGGGTAACGTGCTGATGAGATGTGTGTCTGGGCGGCGCAGGGCTTGTTGGACTGTTCTAGCTGGCACCTTCTCTTCTCCTGTTTCAGGGCAGGCTGAGTGTGACCCATGTACCTCAGAGACATTTAAAACTCTGCTACGGTTTCAGGCAGTGATGTGATATGGACGCGCTCGCCTGCCTGCCAGTGGACAATGGATGGCAGTTGTGATACGTGTGCCGGATAACGCTGGTGAAAAGCTCTGGGTCTGATTTACAGTTTGCTCAAAGTCAGGTGAAATGAGATAGTTGCACATATTGGAGAATGCATCATTTCTTGGTGAGAATTGAGTGAAAAGATCAATATCACTCACACATCCGTTAAACATGGAGGTACTGTCGGGGTGTGTATCTCCATCACTGAGGCCGAGACACATGTCGATGAATCACCAATGATCCAAGACATTACAGATACATATGGACCGAACACTGAAGTGATACAACTCACTGCTATTGTGATGCAGTGTGATTCAACATGATCGAATTCAATGTAACAGAATGCAAAGCAAAATAATATAAAGGTGCAGGAAGACTGATTTTTAACCTTTTTACTTCACGTGTTACTCCAGTCCTGATCAAAATCAAAAGTATTTATATATATAATCACTGTGGTCGTATGGCTCCTCTGATAGAACATGTTTTGTGAAGCCTCTGTGACCTTTGACCTCTGAAATCTGATCATTTAATCTATGATTCTACATAAATGTTCATTTGAAATTCCCCCAAGGTGAACATGAGATGTTGCGTTCATAAGACCAAAAACTTTTTGTTGGCAGAGTAAGTTTTTTTATTTTATATTATTTCTTCAATTTGAGTTCCAGCACTACATAAATAAATGAAAACGATATGTATGATATAGCTTCTTATTTATCTTACAGATATAAAAGTGGTAATGATACAAGACAGGACATTCAACATCAATCTTGTTTTTTCTCTTGCAACTCCACTTCACTTCATTTGGTGGTGAAAACATTCTTATCATGCACAAACTGCATTAAAGTGCCATTATTGACATTTAAATATTTATCAGACCCTCACATGGGGCTTTTCATTGACCTTTTTATTATTCACATTTTTTGAAACTCGTGTTTTGTAATTTTCTCTTGTTTCATCATTACTAAATGTTGTATCCTTCATTACCACGTCAGTATTTGGTTTGACTCAGGAGGGGCTGCAGGAGCCACCCTGCTCTGTAGATGTGGGTCCTGCTGAATGTTCTGCGGAGTGCAAAGCAGAGCATCATGGGACTTAAGGAGGATTTAAGTGGCACAAGTTGTGAACCTGGTGCGGATGCTCTGATGAATAATGCAATGGAGTCTGAAGGGAGCAACACAGTATTCTTATACTGGACCATTCTGGAATAAATCAAAAGACGACTCTAAAACACAGGTGCATCTGTTTGATTGATTCAATTTAGTTTTTTTAGCGTTTGAATTGTTGCTATTTATACATTTTGTTGTCGTACCTCAACAACTATAGGATGGATTGTGAAATGTTGACACACATAGCCCCCAGAGGATACTTCAACAATATTGGATTTGGAGATCACTTATAACTTTGAATCCAGCACCACCAGCAGATCTAACTTTTCCTCGGTCATAGTTTACATGAAACATCCTACTGACTGATTGTCAACTCACTAACTTCACGTCCGTCACCACTAGCAAGTGAACATTTCTGTGACTTTTGAAAGTTGGCAAAAATTGGCACTTGCATGGTAATTATGGACTTAACTTCATTTCCCATTTTATTTTGTAAAGTGTTTTCCTCAAGCTTTTCAGTAAGTTCTACTTCCTGTCATTGTTCAGTTTTCCGCAAGTTTTCTCTGCTCACCTGTTTT